CCTTAAACTGCACTTCAGACACGTTCATATCAAACTGACCCCAGCTGAAAACTTCCACTCATTTTACCAAGTGGAAACATTTTGATTTTGGGTCAAACCAACTGCAATCAAAACACTTCATTTCTCATGTCCCCAGTAGAAAATATACTTCCCCCCCCCCGGCCCTTGCAAAACTGATTTTTTAAAGATTTCTCAGTCCCTGCAGAAAATAAGTTTGTCCAGAAGTCACAAACTATCTCTGCTGTTGATGAGTCCATGCGCACATGGCATTTGTGCCACACAAGAGCTAAGGAGCAACGGATTGTACTTTCCAGGAAAATAAAGGTCACATCAGGCTAAGCCCAAGCCTAGGAAATTCACACTGGAAAGCAGCTTTTGTAACATCATAGGATCCTGGAAATCTGTATTCAAACTGTTTGCACTTTCCAGCCATTATGCAAAGGGCTGCATGCAGTAATCTTCTGGGAGTCGTTGGGGCAACATTTGTAAAATGCTAACAGTGTGCTAAACCTACGTTTCACACCACGTACTTTGGGAAAAAAACAAAACCCCATCCCTTTCTGCAACTGTCCCTGAGCAAATGGGTTCCCTCGTAGCATAATCCTCTTCTGAAGCTGCTCCAGCAGCCTGTACCTGCTGCATCAAGAAAATCCTGCCCAGCAAGCCATGAGGTGCATGCTTGTTGAACCAGTTGGACTGCTAAAAGCAAGGCTTTGAGAAGCACACTGAGCAGAGCCAGGGAGAGCACACACCTGCCCCATGTGAAGGAAGAACAGGGACACACATTTTCCTCTAAGCAGCTCTGCTGGTAAATAACTAGTCATCCAACCACAGGATCTGTTGCAGTCATTCGCAGCAGTTAAAGGAAAGATGCTCAGCTGGATAAGCTCCACAGCCTTTACGTACTAAAAGTGGTGAGGCCTTCACACACTTCACATCTTCTATGGAAATTATTTACTAAGGACCACTTTGCTCAAGAAGAGTAAGTGTAAGGCTGGGAGGCTGGAGGCTCAGTCCCAAGGCTGCCACCACCTTCACCTTGCTGTGCAGTTATGAACATGTTTTTAACATAAGTTAAAGCGTAAGTTTAGGATCAACCTGGAAACACTTGGAACAGCTCCAGTACTTGCTGCCACAAAGAGCTGCAGGGGCTCTAGCAGAGCTTAAAAAAAAAAAAAAAAATCAAAAAAAAAATATCACACACTCACTGTCATTTCAACTGCTAAAGACCATACCTGATTGAAAACATAGCAGGGCCCTGTCTTGAGCAGGAAGAACTAGGTAGAAGCGAAACCCTAAATGACTCAATCTGTTGCCAAACACAATTAATGGTTCCACAAGCAACTGCTTAAAACAAACACTATTCCATAGGGGATAAAAATTGACTTAGAATTCGACTGCACAAGTTATTTGTAACCAATAAGAGATCTAATATTTAAAATACCGATGGAATAATTTCTACTTACAGGCATTCAACTGAGAGCTGGGGTCAGTGCACTTGCCTTTTCTTTTGCTTTGCTTTCGCTCTTCATCCCTGATCTTCCTCTCTGCTCCCTGCCAGACAAAAGATTAAGGGGAAGGGTGGTGGAGGGAGGGAGGGGGAGAGAGAAAGAGAGGGAAAGAGTCTTTTTAGGTTTGGGTTTTTTTTTTTTTTTTTCTTCTTTTCTTTTCCCAGCTGCAGAGGCAGGAACGCCAGTTCTTCCAGAGCTGTGTTTGTGGAGGTCAGCTCCACGGTACCCAAGCTTCAGGTTTACCAGAGTGTGCCAACTTGGAGATCTGCCCAGAGTTTACTTTCAAGTTCTGTCATCTAATGAAATCCAACAACCACATCCAAGATGCAAATGGTTGCTTTTCTTTCAAGTCAGATGGGGATATGATGACAAAAGATACCCACAGTTATAACAACTTTATGAAATGTGAGATAAAATAAATCCGAAGTGTTTAAAACAATAAAAACTTGCAAGTTCCCTCAGTTTAAAAATTCACTAGATCATGATTAAAACCTGATTTATAAAAATCAAGCCATGCTTGGTTCACCAAGTGCAAGATACCTTCCTGCATGACCCATACAGCAGTTATACCAGCCTTCACTGATCTCAAGCTGAAGACAGGCGTAATTGTAAAGCAGACATTATATAGGGGCCAGGCTATGGGGAATCCACAGATACCTAACCAGGTTCTTGCAATGCACAGGCAGCGGCCAGGCTATGGGGAATCCACAGATACAGGTTCTTGCAATGCACAGGCAGTTGTGACAGACAAAAGGAAGGAAGAAGGTTTGTATTGGAATCGTGTTCATTTCTCCAGCTCTGCCCAGACTTCCCATGTGACTGTGGGTTAAGGCAGGGATGTCACGTTGCCAGTTGCAGAGGGTGATAAGCCCACTGTAGATCCCCAACACTCAATCCTGATCCTACCACCACACATCACTGCCCAAACTGGTATACACAAGTTCTACCTGTCTCCCAACACCCTCCTGCAAAGCAGGGTAGGAGGTAACAGTTATCTGGCCACAGGAAGCCAGTATTTCTCATTCCCACCCCTGCAAAGCTGCCAAAACACACCCACATCCTTGCACAGTGTTGGAGGAAGACCAGATTAGCTATGGTGAACAAGATGACATAAAGTATGTGGTGATGAGGTAGTAAATGGTGCCTAAGGCAACAGCCCTCCTAACCTCCCAGTAAATCAATAGCAGGATGCCTACACCTGCTAGGTAGCAGTGGACACCTTTGCACTAGCAATAAAGGAATCTGATGTACATCAACATATATCGCCTTTTCTCCCACCTAACAGCCAGGACACAAGCAGTTTCAGGCAGCTGCTATGAAAAAGAAAAAGTTACTAATGAAGACACATTCATTGCTAGCTTCATTTGCCCCCATAAAGCCAATACAGCCCACTACAGTGAAGACATCCCACCTAAACCTCAGCACAGCTGGATCCACACCCCTCTGGGGCTTCCCTTACCAGAACAGTCATAACATCTCAGCTTGACAGCAGAATAATCAGATTTGGCTCCAGTCCTGTTTTGGTTTTTTTTGTTTGTTTGGTTGGTTGGTTTTTTTTTTTTGTTTTTTTTTTTTTTTTTTACTTTTCACATGGAAATAAAGTTCTATGACTCAAACACTGTGCTACAGAACATCACCTGCTTCCTCGTGGAGAATGAAGAATCAAAAGCACACATTTTGAGAAAACCTCTGCCTTCCCATGCCTACAGCCAGGCTTCTGTTTGAAAATCAACCTGATTCAGCTACAGGAGCTCAGGTAAACCCATCTCAAATGCTACAACAAAATAAAGTTGTGTCTTGATAACAGGCTTTTCTGCCTTGCCAGCGGAGCTCAGCAACAGCCAGCATCACATACTTTTGAAGAAACAGCACTGGCAATCCTGTATTCTGCAATTACAAAACAAATAAGCTTGTAAGAATAAGCTTGATAAAGCAACAGAGATGCAGGGAGAGGATGCGACATCGAGTCACAACACACTGTGAACTGGACCCTTCATGGCACTGTGAGATTCCCTGCTTCCACACACGGGCTGTGTCAGTCAGACATGCTCTGAAGACAGAGGACTGCTCCCCAGCCCCTCTCTGCACGCTCTCTCATGCTGGGTGCAGCTCTGGCACACAGCCCACGAGCCATTTGAGCTCCTCCGCTGCCCTGTGGCACCAGTGGCCAAGCTACCAGGGAATACTGGTGGACAAAAGATTGGACACGAGCCAGCAGTGTGCACTGGCAGCCCAGAAAGCCAATTGCGTTCTGGGTTGCATTAAAAGAAGTGTGGCCAGCAGGTCGAGGGAGGTGACTCTCCTCCTCTACTCCACTCTCCTGAGACCCCTCCTGGAGTACTGTGTCCAGCTCTGGGCTCCCCAGAACAAGATAGACATGGATGTGTTGGAGCAGGTCCAGAGGAGGGCCACAGAAATGGCCCAAGGGCTGGAACACCTCTCCTGTGAAGACAGGCTGAGAGAGTTGGGGTTGTTCAGCTTAGAGAAGAGAAGGCTCCAGGGAGAGCTTATAATGGCTTTTCAGTATATAAAGGGGGCTTATGAGAAAGACACAGATAGGCTTTTTACCAGGGCCTGTAGTGACTGGACAAGGGGCAACAATTTTAAACCAAAAGAGGATAGATTTAGATTAGATATTAGGAAGAATTTCTTTACTCTGAGGGTTGTGAAACACTGGAACACGCTGCCCAGAGGGGTTGTGGATGCCCCATCCCTGGAAGTGTTCAAGGTATGGTTGGAGAGGGTCTTGAGCAACCTGGTCTAATGGAAGATGTCCCTGCCCATGGCAGGGGCACTGGACTAGATGACCTTTAAAGGTCCCTTCCCACCGATATTCTGTGATCATGCAAAAGAAGGAACAGTCTCCATGTTGCTGCCCATCCATGTCAATGCTGCCTCTCATCATGTCTCTCCTTCTAACGGCATCTCACTCGCCTATTCCCACCGCCTCATAAAAACCTTCCCACAGCACTGCCCATCACTACAGTAACAGCAGGTTCCAGAGGACAACACTAGCTATAGCCTGTTAAACCCTGTATTTAATTTTCCCTGTGTGGGTGCTTAGCTGAGGTACAATTTACAGCAGAGAAGGTCATTTTCCTCTCAGACAGGTCACCCCCATCTCTGCACAGCCCAAACACAGCTGGGCCAAGACTGAACAAAGCTTATGCTGTAACATGCCACAGGATGACACCATTACACCCATACTGCTTTACTCAAGTCTTGAAACTAGATATGATTAGACAAAACCCAAACATCTTGGGCACCTGTGGACCCCTTCCCACAGAGAGAGAATGGAGGGGAAGACAGAAACATGTGAAGAAACTTGCTCTCAGAGGCAGCAGCCAAAACCAAGTATCAGCTGTTTCCCTTCCACCCCAAGCGTGGTAATCCTCCTCCTTCACTCCTTTCCTGTGCTAAGGACACCACACAACGTTAACTAAACTGTTTGACCTTCTGTGGGGTATCTATCAATTTGGCATACAAAAAAGACAGCAGAGGACTGCCACACCAGTGTCTGGGTTCAAAGTCAGTTCAGGTGCACAATGCAAGCACAGCCTTAACAGACAAAGGAACAGAGGGGACCTACACAGAGCTGTCCCTGTCATGATGGTGCTGTGGCCACCTAACAGACAAAGGAACAGAGGGGACCTATACAGAGCTGTCCCTGTCAGGTGGCCACAGCACCATCATTTTGTGCTGTCTTTTTCCAACAGACCTCCACAGTATACACTTGGCTCTCCACAAAGAAAACACGGATAATGGCACTTCTACAGGTAAGAGTGGCCACATAAGAACAAGCACATTAAGGACTGCGATACGTGTGGATGCTATAGTAACGATGGTCCTGTAAACATTCAAGACCAGCTGATTGATTACCTAAGATTCAAAGCAGGGCAGAAAATGGATGCTCTTTGTGAAATGCCATTGCTCTTACAGGAGCCTGGAGAAGGTGGCCAGCATTGGGGGTCTACGAGTCAGTACCTGCAGCTGTAAGGACACAGGTCTGCCCACAGGAGCACTTGCCCAGCATCTCAAACAAGCATTTGAGTACACGGTTTGATTCAACACAGTGACAAACAGTATTTGGCTTGTCGGCCTCTGTCCCCAGCTCTCATTGCCAGACCTAGCTCAAACCTGAGAGGCAGCAAACTTCAATGCCATTTCTATAAATGCAAATTGCAGAATCATCAGGCATCAACCTCACACTGGCTGCATGTTCACATGCAACAGTCAGATTAAGTACAAAAAAGTAATCTTTTCTCCTTCCCTCCCTCCCCTTTTAATTCACAGCCAATTTGCAAAGTATCTGGAGGAATAAAGCAGGAGGAAAGGTCAAAATCTCAAAGGAAAATAAAAGATACACTGGCATTACTGTACTAATAAACTTACTGAGATTTATGGTATAGACTCAAATGGTTTCCTTTAAGCTATGTTGTCGTGGTTTAGGCTGGGCTGGCCACTAAATGAACGACAGTGTCCCTCCCCCTTCTGGGGTTACACATCTGCCCTTTTATTAACCGATTTGTCTCATTAGCAGTGGCACACGCCTGTCAATAATTTTAGCAGTTATCAGTAATTGACTGGACATCTTATGAGTAAAAGATCTCACACTTCCCTGCAGCAAGTCTATACTCACTGTTATCATAGAGAATACAGGTTGATAACACACAAGAGTCCCAGACAATGAAAGTGTTTCAGACAACACGCTTGCCTTAGTCTCATTTTAGAGGAAGAAAAGAAAAAAAAAGGAAAAAAACCTGAAGAAAGCCCATGAGACCCAAGCCTTACTGGCAAGCCTTTAAGATAGCTCTGGAGAGCGTTCCTTAACTGCCTGGTAAATTTTTTGCAGAAATCATCGCAACAGGAGCCATCTCAGGAGGCACTTGAAGGAAGATGACTAAGTAGCTTTACACTGACAGGCAGCTACAAGCAGCTTCTCCCAACCATGCAAGAAAGCAGAGGGGTCCATTTAAAAGCATATAGGTGGACAATAAAACACAGCAGGATGGGTTAATGGGATGATACAGCAGAGGCAGAACGTAGAGGGCTCCATATATTTTGGGAGGTAAGAGGAGTGATGGCACAGGAAGTTAACATTTGTGACAGCGTCCTGAGGGATGACAAGGCAAGACCACACAGTATATAACTGGTGCAAAGCTAGCACAGAACTCCAGAGCGGGGGTCACGAGCCCAACTCAGACCTGCAGCTGCACGGAGAGGTATTTGAGATATCACTCACAAAGGCTCTGTGCTGTGCAGACAGGGTTCGGATGCAAAGAATGAGAGGCCTTAATCAAGTAGGTTGCCAACAAAATAGGAAGCTGGTGTCGTTCACAGCAATCAAAAGGAGGACTGGGGAAGTCCAGGCAGCATTGATCCCAGCCTAGAAAGATCTCGTTCACTCAGAAATAGCAACATTGCACATTACTTGCTCTGGTCCTTCAAAAGACTGCTCAGGCAGGAACAGGTTAGAAAGATTGGGAAATGTCCTTTCTTCTCAGTTAAGCTTTTATAAACACTTTCAGCTCAGCTCCTGCTATGTTTCTTTCACAGCTTCAGGTGAACAGTGGCTTTGGGAAAGGTGTTAATTCTCTGTATGCTAAATACATTAGGCAGAGTAGTCAAATTACAGCACCCATCCAGCTTGTAAATGGGCTTTGTTATACTGCTGTATCTCACAACAGCACAATGAAAACAGCAACATTTTCAGTTCACAAGATGTGCAAGTTGGTTGGTTGTTTTTTTGGGGTTTTTTTGTTTGTTTTTTTTTTTAATAACAAATGCAGTAAGACCACAAGAAGAAATTTAAAAGGACCAACACAACATAGCTTGGGCAAAAAGACAAGCCTTCACTTGTTCCAAATCAATTGCAATGACTTCTACTGGAGGCACTCTGCAGGACCTTCCAGCGTCTGGAGTACTGACAGACAGTCTTCTGCTACTGACTGACCTTTCTCCAAAGTCAATGCTCAGGAACACTTCTCAGCGGTCCAGCATTTTTAGAGCAGCAAATTTATCTGAGGTCATCATAACATCTATGAGCCAAATAGAAGGGGTTGAAATTTTTCCCTTGCAAAGGGCTGAACGCAGATGGGAGTTTTCAATGAGCCAAAATAGCAAGTGGCAGAATTAGAAAAAAAAAAAAAAAAAAAAAAAAAGCTGCTAAGCTGTGGAACAGCCTTTCCCAAAGGGTCACTGGCACATTGACCCAACCTTACCTTATCACAGAAGACTTTAATCTGGCAGTAGGCTCTGTGGACAGGTTTGTTACTCCTGTTATTGTAGCTGTAGGTGTCAATCTGAAGATTCAGTGGCAGGCCTTTAACTCCCTTCTGAGAGGAGAAATCCGTGCTGAGGCAGTTCACAGAAATGAAAACCTGTAGAAGAGGAATGCAGCACCTGTCAGTAGAAACACACAGACTCCTGGCTGGCAACTGAGCAAGGGACTACTTGGTGAGTGCAGACATCTAAATGTTGGTCCTCGCCGCCACAAGTAGGACCTTTTGTCTTCTGAGAGATCAAGTAAAATCCACAAGAAGCAGTATTACATTCTTAATTCTTTATCTGAGGCATCACAAGGGACAAAGCCACTTTGTCGAGAGTGAATTTCAACAAACTGTCAAACTTCATGAAGACTCCACCCATCTTTCCCAGATATTTCCGCCCAAGAGATCTCAAATGTTGTCATCATAATTTTAGCAACAGTAATCCTCCTACACCCAATCACTGCCCAGTGTTTTACCATCTTGGTAAGAACACAACCATACTTTGAAAAAATTACGTTACTCTGGGCAAGTTAAAACAAAGCTTTTCATGAGTTTTATGTAAGCTGCTGTAAGCACAGCTTACACTTCAAACTACCTGGGTTTTTTTGGTTTGTTTTTTTTTGGTTTTGTAAATGATATTGAAAGTTTTAAAAAAAATATTAGGCAACAAGTTATCTTTAAACACTGGAATAATACAGTTATTTCAGTGAAAGAGTTTCTGGGCTTTACACTTTAAAAGATGAACACCATTTTGAATATTCCTCAGTAAGACCTACAGTACCCTGTTAATGTTCAAATCAAAAGGGGAAGATTAATATTTTCATTATTCTAATTAAAAACTTGAATTATGGGGAAAATGAAGAGTGATTTTCAACATATCTAATTTCATTTTCATAATTGCCTAAAAAAAAAATATCCAACAACACCACCCCAACAACAACCCACAACCAGAGAATGAACTAAATGCTGCTTAAGAAAAGGAAGAAATATCCTTTTGTAGATATGAACAGACAGACTAGAATACTTTGTATCCAGAATGTGCACTTGCTTTGCGCCAAGCCTTTCCCCAGACACAATCCTCATTATTGGCACGTCTCAGAAGAAGCTGCAGTGATTAATTACCAGGAATTTATGAGCTATCAAGACCTGCAATGGCTCCTCTCCTCTCTGTGTCAAAGGCTGGGAACCCGCCGCTTAAAAAAAAAAAAAAAAGGTAATCAAATCCTTGGGAGCCAGAGTATCTTGCAGAGATTTTGCGGGAATACTGTCCCACCGCTTGATCGCTCACTTATTGTGCTACTACCATGAAGCACCCGTTTGACAGTCTCTGCAGTGAGTTAGTGCCACCTCCCGGAGACGTCCCGGTGTTGCAGAGTCTCAAGGTAGGTTTTGAAAAGCGTTTGGGTTGGATTTGTGGTTTTGCAAAGCGCTTATCACGGGCTTCTTCACACAGGTTCTGCAACATCCTTTACTAGCTTTAACAAAAGAGGGGAAATGGAAATGTAATAACTATCACCAGATTAGGGATATAAGCTCCTTTTTTTTTTTTCCCCCCCTGTATATAACACAGTAGGATAAAAAGCCGAGGGGGTGCGGGGGAGGGGGGGGGATATAGAATAGTGTAGATAAGCATTGTCTCTCGTAATAACTTGTCTGAATGTTTGCGATTCACATGCAACTTCTTGCAGCCCCTGTGAGCACCCGCTGCCCCAGAGCAGGGAGACAGGTGCCGGCACACCAGCTCGGCAAAGAGCCCCCATCCCTTCCCTTGTGCGCACACACAGCCTCACAGAGCTGGCAATGCCCCCACCGAGTCCCGCTTGTGCAAAGGGACATTAAGATGTGTGAAACAACATCTAACACACCAGCGTGGCATGTTGGCAGAGTCCCATCCCCAGCCAGCCAACCTGCGCTGCTTGTTCTGCGGTGGCCCAAGCCAGGACGACACTCAAGGACAGCAGCACTGAAGGTGAGCCACGCTCGATGCCCGCTTGCTTTCCAGCCTGTGTTTCAGCATCCCAAACTCGCACTGTTCCAAAACAACTTTTTTTGAAAGCGTTAAGTGCATCCCAAATAGCAGCCAGGAAAATTATTTTAAAATAAGCTCTTTTCAATGTTCCCCAGACTAACCCAAATGATGGCTTTGCCAGCTTTTATCCACCCCGCTTCCCTTTCTGCTACCTTCAGCTTTACAAGGGTATTTTGCTTGCAGCACTGGCATGCCCTGGGGAAAAGCTTCAAGGAGTTGGAAGAGCTGCTTTCACCCACTTTGGAGCTAGGTAATCAGATGTATGCACAGCCTGAATAATTGTGTTCCCTGAGCAAGGGTTTTGTTTTTTAAAAGAGAGCCTCAGCTCTGGTGTTTGCATATTTTTACATTTTAAATTTTAATTTTAAATTTATTTACCCATACTGAATATTCACACACAACTCTCACATCTGTATGAAGAAATGACTGCATTCTTCAAGAAAACATGCCTGAGCAGCCATGTCAGCAGGTCCACCACAGCCTCAAGATTTCTGTTAATTCCCTCATTCGAGTTTCACATCACTGGACACCAGCCGACTCCACGTGCAGCACTGGACACCAGCTCCCTAGCAAGCTGTGTCACTTTTTTAACTGGATAACTCAGGTCCATGTTTTTCAGTTTTCATGGCTGACCAGCCACGCAAAGCCCACGCAGCACGCTGAGCTGAAGGTAGAAGCGTTGGTCTCAGCACAACCATGCATGCTACAGCAGCAGAGCTGCATGGGTATCCCATGGGAATTTGGGATTGCCTGTCAGATGACAAAGATTATCCTCCTACTTTAGAGTCTCCTCATTTGATTAGCTTTGGCTTTAAGCAGCTGACTTCATTTTCATGCCATTTAAGTCTCTGGGACTCTGGGCAGGAGATGACAACTAAAACCTAATCACCTCACTGAAGCAACAGAGAGCCAGCCTGTTTTCTCCTGTTCGTACAAAGCCATTTCAGTTCGAAAGGATCACCTACTCTTCCCTACCCATCCTGTAACTCCTATTTTTGAGCAACTTCAGGTTGCCTCAAGTTCCACAAAAACAGTTTTAGTGAACAGCTTCTCCAGTTTGGGTTAAACAGTTTCAAGAAGATCTGACTCGCGTTCGAAACGTAAGGCCAAGTGACTGCCAGCTACATCCCCACCCCAAAATTGCCAGAAGAAAGAAAAACATAACCGCAGAAGTTGCTCTGCGTCTTCAGCCTGCTGAGCAAGATTCCTTTTCATGTGTCCAACCTATTTTTCTAAGGGCAGTTCCGCATTCTCAGCTATATTAAGATTTGTTGTTACTTTAAAAAAAAAACATTTTCATCTCACCTCCCAAGATTCAACATAGAGACAGCACTTAAAAATAGAGTATTGTCAAGCCCAAGCACTTAGAAGTCAAGCCCTCAGAAGTTACGCAGATTTTCTTTAAAACTGAGATTTCTAAAAGGATTAGAAACCTGTTCTCAAGTTATTTCGCTTGCTTGGCAGTTAAACCTTTAGTCTATATCTGAATCATATTTCCAGGCTTTTCTCTCCAACCAAAGCCAGGCTTTCCTTTCTCTTTTTTTTTTTTTTTTGTTGATTGTTTTCAGGCTTTTAAAATTATTATTAATGACAGCTGAGATTCTCAGCGAGACAAATGGCTCCACAATGGCGAGGTTTAAAGATAAAACACCAAACAGCATGAAACCTGTGAGCTGGTACGAGCTGTGAACCCGCCTCCCCCCCTCATCTGGTGACCAACATGCCAACACACTACAAACCCTCCTCCACCCAACATCAGGTTGGGTTTCCTGCAGCCTTTGTGGTGGACGAGCAGCAGCCCAGCTGCACACAACGAAAGACTGAAGGATTAAAGCACCTCCTCTGGGATCACGCTGGAAGTCAGCGTGGGAAGAAGCCAGACCTCATGACTTCCCAGTCTACTTTAGCCACCCGACCACTCGTGCCCCTCCTCGCCTAATTCGGGAGAAACGCACCGTGCCGCCTATGTTCAAATCTACGAGAAACAATCTTCCATTTTAATAATGCAGAGGAAAAAAAAAATAACCCAGCAGCTCTGCTGTGTGCCCTCAAGGAAGGGCAGCAGAGACAGCCAAGTTCTTTCCACACAGCACCTTTTTCTAACAAGATCTGCCTTTCAAACAAACCAGGAAAAACAGGCGTAATTAAAGGGCAATCAAAGCGCTGCAGGAACCTCGCTGTCAGCGAGATGAAAGATGCCTTTTTTAAATGAAGGCTTGCATACCCAGATCTCCTCTCCTTGGTTTATCTTGGACACCATGCTCTTTTGTCACACAAAAAGCACCAGCAATTTTGATTAGTCCAAAGGCTACATATGCAGCAGCTTTAGATGAAATGTCACCTTGGACTGATCACTGTGCATCCTACTCACAGACCAGCCTGAGGCCGCATACAGCCCTTGCACAACGGGACCCACGGGACATACACTGCCTCTCACTTTGCTTTCCCTCAGAGCAGCGAGGCCATTCCTGTGGCCTCTGGCCGGGCAAGGCAGCAGTCACTTCATAGCTGACATGATCTACACGTTATTTTCACTTTTTGCAGGATGAGGGTTTCTATGGCTCTTTAACTTAACTGACCTGAATGGGAGCCTTTGAGGCTACCAAAGTAGATTAAAAACCAGAGGAATAAATATGGTAAAGGATCCATCAGACCAAAATAAAAGGACTTGGATACGGACCAGAAGACTCGAAACAACCTCCTCCTCTTCTACCTGCACAGATTCCCTAGGAGGACCAAGGCACACACCATCCAGCAGCAGGGAACAGGAAGTTATGCAGCTATTGCCAACGCCGGGACACGGCCTCTCCCCACCTTGGCTGACATCAGGAATTCTGGGAATGACAATGCAATGCCCAGCAGCCACCAGGTTGATTGGTCTCCCGCAGCTGCACGCGCAATTCAGGGTTACACAGCCGTGTGGTCACAGCAGTCCTTGCTGGCCAGCTGAAGGAGCAGACCTAGGCCCAAATTCCACAACCAACTCATTTATCAGCCCTCTGCTAAAGAAAAATTACCCAGCAGCTCAAAGGTTATTTAAATGCTGATGATGGCTGAACGCATATGGTTTCTCTAAAGACTT